CAGTAGTTCTACCGACTTGGTATCCAGCAATTAATCAAATCTCAATTCAGATCACACGTTGCAAAACCGGTGATACGGTCAATTCATTCTGTAAATATTAAATCAAAGGTAGCAATTCACTTTTCTTGTTGGAGTTTGTTTCACCATTTCTTCTCAGACAAGGCTCCCAAATTTGGAAGTAGTGGTAGATTACGGTAACCAGGGGTAAATAAATAAGACAAATGTATTTTTAAAATAATATAACTTAATAAATGTAATCGTTGTCAAAAAGTATAATTTTATTGCGTAATAATAATAATATTGTAATGAGTAACGTATTATTTTAATGCTTAGCGTATCGAATAAGCGCCGTGGCCCACGATCGTTGTTGTTAAGCAACTTTCGCAAGGGTTGGTCACGGGATGAGTTACCAAAATATTATTGTCTCGAGCTATTCCGTGCTTCGGAAGGAACTTTAAGCTGTTGATCTCGGCTGCATTTGCAGTCGTTAATACCCTCCAATACATATTGGGCCAGCGTGGAGGTTCATGGCCTATCAACCTTAACCGACCAAAGGAAAGCCTCAGCCCCTGCAGTGAGGATGTAAAAGGGCTGATGATGATGGCAACTCGCCAAGACAAAGTCAGTTATATGTTATTTCTATTAAACGTTCTGCCACTTAACCCAGTTTGCTTCCCGGAATTTTCCCAAGCTATTTAACATAATCGACCAATTCGATGAATTACTTTGACACGCTTTAAAACCACAAGCGATTTCATTTTCAAAGGTAAATGAAAGGGGTCAAAGGGACCCTATGTTAATGAGTAAGGGTACGAAAGCAAAGAGTTATTATTACATAAAGGGTAATATGGGCCCGAACTATGTATAACGTGTATAATCGTATTGTGTGAGCCAGAGGCACAATCTTATTACCCGTTTTAATTGTTGCAGGGTTATTGTCGCTTTGATGGCAAACTCAATAAAAGTACCATATGGCAGACAGATTATTAAAAGAAAGATAATTTTATCCTTACAGAAATCAATCTACACCTACGTATAAAACAAAGTTTTCATTGTACACGCAAAGATAATTGAACTTATGGCATTAGCAGCTGAGTCATTAAGAAAGATAGAAAGAAGAAACTTATTACGTTTAAATGATTATCTACGCATAAATAATTGTTATGACAGAAAAAAAATTCAATTCAATAAAGATTAACAAATGGGGAAATTTCTTTGAAATCCCTTTTTTGTAGTGGGTTTGTTGCATTTGTTCATAAATTTTAGTTATATACTTACTTTTTTTTATTTTATATATTGATCAGGTCATATAAAATATTTTTCTAGTAACTAGAAATGTAAGGTGGGTGTGTCTTTTGGCAAAATTGACTTTAAAACTGTAACGGTTCATCGTACCACACCGTTTTGTCTTAGGTTTCCGCATCCAAACTTTTTGTCTTTGATATTTTTTTTTATTATTCATTTTTCGTAATATTGAGTAACGCCATATACTCTTTATGAAAGTCAGTTCGTAAAGAAATATTTCAACAACAACACGATCATTATTGAAAATATTTTTTGTATATTTTATAATATTTTTTATAGTTATATTTATGAAGTGTATGTGTCTAAACTTGCATCGTATCTTCTAGATAAACCGAAGAAACTACTTATGATAATTTTAGAAATGTATACGAACTGCTTTTATACTCTTTTTTGTTTGATATTACAGTTTCTTATTTAGTTTATACGTATACCAACTTATCAAGCTTAGTCAGCCGTTTCATTTTCCAACCAACAACTAGCATCAATCCGTCACAAAACTATTATTACGCGAAAATCTTCTGAATTCTCCTACCTAAATATAATATATACATAAATATAAGCATGTCAGATTAATGTTCATTTATTAATCTGACATGCTTATATTTATGTATAAGTATATTATAGGTGTGGTATATATATATATTCTACATACGAGTAATATGATATCTAGCATGTTTTAATGTAGTTTTTTGTAGCATCGCATTGTTAAACTCTCTATTTCATAACTAACCGGTTGACTGATAGAGAATTCTTAATAGCACCTCTAATTGTACGCTTTAATAGTGTATTTAATAATGAAGTTTAATTAAATTAATAAAAAAAAAAACAATTAGAGCACAATGGTATGCGGTTAATGGTATGGTTTATCCGTTTTTCACTTTACAGAGTTACAGAGTTAGTCAAAGTTTACGGAGTTACTCTGAAAAAATAATCTCAATTGAATTATGCGAAATATCAGAAACAGATATTTAACAGTGGTTTGAAACAGTGTCAAAATCTTGTTTACAGAAACAACAAACTAACATCAGCTTCGCTGACGTGACGGGCCTAGCAATTAATTAACTCGAGACAAACATCAACTACATTACTCAGATTTCAAATCGTATCTGTAGTCGAGAGAAGTAATTACTTCAGAAAATGTCATAATTTATGCAAATATTTTTGAGTGATAAACGGGAATTTGAATGAAGTTGGTACCTAATAATAATAGTATTCTAAATTACATTATAAACAACGAATGTAAGAACGAAAATATCATTTTCTACTTTAATCTTAACGGAAATCTCACATGGAACTTCCAAAATGTCTACCAAATGGTGATCGTCAAATTGGACAGTGGATAAAATCTTCCATTTTATTTTACGAGTTTTATTCTACCTATATACCGAAACATTTCTCATAAATGCATCAACCAGCACAGTTAAAATCACGTCATTCATATGCTGTCAAATTTCTCTACTTAATTTTAAAACTTAACGCAAATTAGTAAGAGTTAAAAACAATTGATGAAATTTGATTTACAGTGGTAGTCTGACGAGTAGCCGTATGTTATAATATTTTTTTAAAAACAAAAGCATGAATTTTAATAATTTGCCCAATAACAATAAATTAAAAAAGAGGGTTTTTCCAACACCACTTATTTATTTTAATATAACTTATAAATATCTGTATTCTGTATTCTAAATATCTGTATAAAAATAAAGAATTTTGAAAATCGGTCAACAATTGGCGTAAAATAGTGACCCTAAATAAAAAAATACATCGCCGTCGAACATATAACCTCCTCCTTTTCGATTTGGAAGTCTGTTAATTACATGAAAACGAACGTATAACTCGTGCGAATTAACATGTCACCAGAAGGCCTATTCTATTTCGTCTATTTTCGAAATGCAAATGCGACTCTTAAAGAAAAAAATAAAACTTTCTATAATATATGATGCAACAGATTATCATACCTTCATGGTTAAGATTTTAAGAAAATTATTATAACGATTCGAAATTTTCTTCGACGACAAATAAAATAAGCATCCAGGTGTCGTTTAATTCATACGAGTAGTAATAGCTGCGTATTTTTTGTATATTTGTTTTTTTCATGAATTGCATATTAAAGAATTGCGCTCTCTCTAATTAAGTGAATTTATGCAAGCCGACACAATACTAAAGTCTTGCTATAAATATATAATTAAATTAAATATGGCAATATAATTTCATACTTGTTATACGCAATATTGGTAGCTTCTGTAACTTGGCAAGCTAAACATCAATACATTCCCTAGAGCACAATATTGCGCTGTAAGCTATTTATTCCTTCAAATCGGAGGCACAAATACGACTTTATTATTCCGAATACGTTTCTCCTTATATGACAAAAATATGTTTAAGAAACGCATACCAAATACAGGACAAAATTGTTATTAGTCCACATTTTTTTCCTATTATAGCTTAGTTTCGTTAATAGAACATATATATATTGAAATTTCATGATTATGTGCGTTACGTGCTTTCCGTAAACATATTTTGAAAATCGGAAAGCATCCGCAATGGGATTCAAATTGCGTATTCTAGGTATATAATTCAAAAAACGACCCTGGCCTTGCGCCTCACTATAGCAAGCGGAATGAATTGAACTAAGATATGTAAGATTTTGACGTTTATCAACTTTATCTAAAAATGGCATTGGCGTCATGTTAGACTACAGACTACCTTAAAATTTGTTTTATATATTGTTTTTTCAAGATTGAATGGTGAAAATATACTGTAAACGAAATAAACTATGACAATAGGTACGCTTTCAGTATATACTGAGGTAAAATCACGGATATTTTTCCTGTATTCGTTCTAAATTTAGTTGTCAACACCAAAGTAAATCGGACAGGGTCTCGTTTTCTGATCACATTGGCGAACCATGGACGCCCTCGGGGCATCCCAATGTCTGTGTGTATTACGTTCAAAGCGGACTGTATTTTGTATAAAGGAAAACTGTGTTCTATAACTATGTATTTGGTATTTTGGTATATTTGACCTCCAGTTATTGACGACTCGAGTGTCTAGTCAAGTCTGTAAGTACTTGGAATCGTCTATAGAATAACGCTACTTTTACATAACCTTTACTCCGTTTATTTTGTTTGTTATTTTCTTGTTTGTTTATTTTGACGTGCAATCGTGTGTACAAGCACAATCAGCCCTCGGATTACTAGAGCTGCCACAAAGTTTAATTTATCTCTTGATATAAACGATGGGCTCTGAGGCCAAATGGACCCATCGTTTTTATCCTAAACAGCTCAAATAAGTAAGTATTACTTATACCTGAATACATTCGCTGTACGAGGCTTTCTGTAGTAATAATAGAAGTAGATATTTTTATAAAAGTAAAAATAGAAATAGAATAGAAAGAGTATAAAACACTAGACTTACCTATCGTGGTGAGCGCCAAAGTGCACCAATAATAACTTTGTAGATACTGTTTCACCACATCTGCCGTTTCAGTATCATGATACACCCAGTTTTTACTACCAAAACCATTGTTTTTATATATTATATGGTACAAGCACCCGTTCCAATGGAAAATCACTAACAAATAATGAATTAAACTTGTTGATCTAAACAAATTCGGATAGTTCGTGTGCCGTTCAGTTCGGTCCATAAACGCCCAGAAGCGGTAAATTTTCACTAAACGAAATGAGCGCAGTATCGAGTTAAATCCTATTGATAAGTAGAGAAAGTCTAGCGGTAGTAGACAGAGACAGTCTATGTAGAACGTCGTGGAGTTCATGTAGTGCGCTCTCAGCTTCGCCGCGTCCGTTTGTAGGACGCCATCTTCTAGATACCCCGTACGGAAGTGGAACAATATGTCCGCCAGATACAGGAAGTCCGAAAAGTAGTCCAAGCAAAACCACACTATTAGTGTCTCGCCTGCAACAATAGAAAAGAGGATTTCTTAAGGAAATGCATTGTTCTAATTTTACAGCATGGCGTTCAGTTTCATATTAATTTTATAAGAACGCCTCTAAATGATTTTCATGATATTAAATATACTGTTAAATCCATTTAACTCAATGGCGCAGCGGTTAGCGCACTCGGTCTACGCTATGGTTGATAAGCAATTAGCGTAATGGCCGGTTATAGGATGGGTGACCAAATAATTATTATCTTGAGCTGCTCCGTGCTTCAGAAGACACGTTAAACCCGGTTAAATCTCGTTACTACCCTCTTATCGATGCCAGTCTATCCATAGGGAAGGTCTGTTATTTTACGGACATGAATTATATTCTGGTGATGATAATGATGACTAATATTATTAATGTGAAAGTAACTCTGTCTGTCTGTTACACTTTCATTCCTAAATCACTGAACAGATTGTAATGAAATTCGACAGTTAAATTACAATTAGTGTCGAATTCGGTAACGGACAGCGCAAAAAAGAAGGGCAAGATAAGTTTGCATGGAATCTTTCATATCTAATTTCAATCCCATTTCGACATTGAAATATTCACCGCGGACAACAGCTAGTATAATATATTTGTACCGAGAATACCATTGGTACAATAAGTAACAGAATGAGCGCTTTATAAATATTAAAATTTAAATATTTCAATAATAAAGTTAAATGACCGTCCTGCGAAGTTGCGTTACTTATAAATTATTCACGAAGTTCGAGATTGTATAAAGTCATGACCGAAATTTCAATAGTCTTTACATAAACGACAGTTCGTTGACGTTGGTATTTATTGAGTGAAACGAAGTCTTCTAATTATATTAAAACAATACGTGTACATAAATAACCCACATCGGAAAATTGGAGAACAAAAGAATCAGTACGCGTATTAATTTAGCTTCTATATCTGTAAACGAATGATTTTTTTCCCTTTGATAAAAACTTTTTCAGTTATAACTCGACAAGAATTATGACCAATTTCAACACAAACCGAAAAGTTGAAAAGAGAACGAGATTACGCGCCGAACGAAGGAAGTCAGGGGGCGTACTCAGGAAAGGAAGTACGATAATTAGACGTTACTCGTGTTCCAATTATTTAAATATACATATTATATATACATGTACTGTCTCTTTAACGAATTTATTTTAACATATACGTAAAAAAAAATATATAAAATATGTTTATCTAAGATTATCTATAATAAAAACGATATAACAGTGATTTCTTTATATTTTACATTAAGCAAAAAAAAACGTTCCGAACCACAAAACAAGGGAATATCAGAAACTAATTTGAAATATCAACTGTCAAGTTGTTGATCATTGAAGTGCGCCCTTAAACGTGATTTTTCAATGGTATTCAAGATTCTGATTCAAGATGCGATACTTTATCTCTTAGAGAAATGAAATGGAAAACGATTGTCGCTCGTCTGAATATAAAGAATTTTTACAGGAAATGGACAGGAAAATTCAAAATACTTTTCAAATATGGAAGGATAAAAGTTTATAAGATAGTGGAGTTGATTCTGTTGCATGTCTGTCTAAACTGGTGATAAATGACAATTACAGTCACATTAGAGAGAGAGAGAGAGAGAGAGAGAGAGAGAGTGAAGATACAATATAATTGTAAAGGAATTAAGCAATTATGCAATTTAATGCCTAATATAGGATATTAAAAATCCTTCATAAATTATTCCTAATAAGGGAAAATTTGAAGATTGTCAATAAATCCAGTCAATTCAGGATTGGTTTACGAATAAGCTTGACTTTATCAAAATGTATCAAAATTTATATTTTAGTTTTAATTTCTAAAATCTTTCATTTTAGAAAGTACTGTGAATATTCTATCTTATTTCGTATAATAAATTACTCGCAAGCTATTACAATTAATGTTAAAATCGCTTTAACAAAAAAAATCTTTGTGAAAATATAGATTGTTTTATTATTTGAACTAAATTAATTATTTGAACTAAAAAGTCTTACCATTTATTTCTTGGAAGGCGAACCTGTACACGATGACCCAGAGGTTATAGAGGAAGGCCAATGAGACGACCATAGACCAATAGTAGCACAGACGGCCCGCGGGATCGAACACGAACGACCAATGTGGCCCGGACCTTAGCCGACCGCTCGCGTATGTTGACCTACGTCTGAGTCCTCCCCTGCTACCACTGTGGACAATATGTTAGTGATTTAGACAAACTTATTATGAACACCTTGAAAGAAATTTGATAAAAAAGTGCATAATCGTTACTAAATTTATTTAAAAGTAATATACATAATGTGGTCCATAATGTATCTACATGTTTATTTATTTAGGGTTGGTGGCGTCAACTTAATTTAACAATAACAAATGTGTGTAAGTATTGGTTAAGCAAATAATAAGCTGCATCTCACCAGACTTCATAACTATCACTTTTAACTTAGAAAGGGTGGTTACAGTTAACAGTCAAAGTTATGACGTCATTTCACCATTGTCAAATGATGCAACTTTTTATTTTCTTAGCTGGTACTTTAACATGTTTGTTATTGGTAAATAAATTTGGTGCAACCAGCTCTAAAAATCAGCACGTTAGGAAACCAAAATATGTCAATTTTTTTCTTTTGAGCTTTATTATCATTTTACTGAGGTTTATCAGTTTTTGTATAACCTGGCCGCTGTTGATTGCACAACAAAAAATTATATTACTGATATTTTAAACACTAAAGTTTTGGATGTTTGTTATTTCTTCACGTAAATACTACTTAATGATATTTGGTGAAACTTAGTATATAACTAATTCTATTCCTGGATTATAGGATATCCTTAAGGATAAAAGTACCATCAACTTATCATGTAATAGGCTAACATAATAAATAGCTCAATGACTAAAGCGTCTAAATTCAGATTATTAAAAAAATGTAAAACAAGTGTACAAAGCTGCTACTGGAAAGCTAGTTATATCTAATATTCTAATTGTAACAAAACCTAGACTAACAGCACTCATGCATGCCCTATATTTATCTCATGCTAGTCTCTTAATCATAGAGTGCAAGTAAATATGCAGGCAACTAGCAAGAGTATGAACAAGCTCCCGTATATTTATTTATACTATAATTTTTATGCAAATAGCCTACAAAATGTGCTTGCTACTTGCCCCGTATACGAATACTATCAGTTCAACTATCATATCCGTAGTGAAGAATTCGATTTCAGGATTTTTAAGGCTGCCAGTCACACATGAAATTAAATTATGTGGAATAAAACGAATAAAAAACTCTTTTCTTTAATCGAGGTTACGAATCAAGTCATACACGACTTTTTAGACGCATGACACATTTTTGATTGTTCATCTCTCTCCCACTCATATAATTCAACGAAAGCTGTATAATTTTAAGATCTATAGATAGGACATTTTGCATTATAATAGGAAAAAGAAGATAAGTAGCTGTTCTGAATATTATGTCTAAAAGACATAGATCGGATGTTGGCAAAATGTGTACGTAAAATGGAATAAGACCAAATTTTAAAAAAAGTTTGAGTTTTCTATCATTCGGTCTAGGGAATTTCTTATGTCGAATGTAAATTAGTAACAAGCGAGTGGTATACGCGAGTCGAATGATTGAAAATTGGACCTCCGGAGTCGTGACGGCTCCTTTAGTCGTCGTAACCGCTAAACAGAGTGCCATGACGTCATGGCTCGCGTGCCCTTAAATTCTCTATCGTCCCTCATTATTCAAACCGGGACTGCAACCATTGCGGTGAAAATGGTAAGGTTATGTCTTACTTATTCTCTCGCTTTAGGAGATTTATGATGTTGATATTTCATTTTAATACTACTTTTACGATTCATTTTAAATAAAGAGATACGTATGCATAAAAATGTTCGCGTCAACGGGTAAATTTTCTCTAAACAAAATTTTGTTATCTTTTTTTAATTTTAATATAAATTACTTTTACACTGCATTTTTTCTTTGAGATGTTGCCTTCAATTTTTAATAAATGTTGTAAAAAAAACTTAACATTGTTAACAATCATATTATCAAAAATCAAGGATACACTTTTACTGACTGGCTGTCTGTTCTTAAACTCAGATCAAACCGCTGAACAGACCCCACTGAACTTAGGCACACTAAAATCCAATTGCACAAAGGTCCACTAAGGTTTAATGGCTACTTTAAGCTCTAGTGTATGCTCCAAATCCGAATATTTGTATCGGTATTGTAGTTATATACTAATTACAATTTGAATGAACGTTTTTGCAACTGATTGTGATAGTTATAATCACATAAGTTTTGGAATTGAATTTTGAACTCTAACTCTAACGCCGTTAGTACACCGATTAATTCGCTTACGAAAGCAAAACCCTGCAAAACTATATCGCATGCGAAACAACTGCAAATTATCTGCTGCAAATCAACTGCAAATAGCTGCTGACGTTAGAAATTATTTATACCCATGAAACTTGGTTGATAGACCAAGAATCGTGGATATAAATAAGTTGTAGAATATAATTAAGTTGATCGTTATGCTACGTCAAATAGGTATATATTGTTGTATAAGTATATATTTGATCAATTTTTCATTCACAATGCATTGATATCTTTGAAAGATGTAACGTGACTCGATATGCGGGAAACTATTTCAAAGTCCTCGCTGTTCATCCGTCCTTCTGTCCAGCTGTCTGTCTGTCCGTTTATTACCAGGCTGTATCTCATTAACCGTAACTGTAAGACATTTGAAATATTCACAGATTATATATTTCTATTGCCGCTATATAATAATATTATATCAACAAATATTTAAAGACAGAATAATATAGATATTTAAGGGGTTCCCCTACAACAAACGTTATTTTTTGCCGTTTTTAAGGATAAAGATACCTACGGAACTCTTACTGCGCGAGTCAGACTCATAATTGGTCGGTTTTTTCATCAAAGACAATGACTATAATTAGCCGCTATTGTGCAAAAAAAAGTAAGGTCATGTAGGTAAAGCATGTTCAGCGGCTTAAAGTCCGCATAGCTAGTAATTTAAATAAAAATGAACAACATTAAAGCGCCAATACTTCGTATACTTGAGTAGAACGCGTAAAGAAAAGAAAGTAGAAGAACGCGACACTTGAGTACCAATAACAATTTACCAATCTGTCTTACGTTTCTTTTGCCATTTTCTACGTTCGTTAAAATAAAAAATTGGTTAAGTGCGAGTTGGACTTGCGCACGAAGGGTTCCCTACCGGAGTTCCCCCTTTAATATTTATTTCATTTGTTGGTAACCCACTATATATACATAAAACATTCCATATTTATTTATTTATATACAATATATTCACCACTAACATAAACATAGACATTTTACATTCAGGTAAAAAGTTCATCATCATAAAAAGAGTAACAATATAAATAATATATTGATATATACTCTCTGTTCGAATAATTTTCTGAATTTGTTTCAATATTATATTTTTAAAATTGGAAAATTAGAAAATGTATATAAACAAATTTTATTGAATTTTGTTTGTACTCGTATGATAGTGATTATATTTAGTTATTTTAAAATCGTGTACTATTTAGACTTAAGAAATTGTGTAAAATTATTAAGAGTTTTTCTTTTCGTCATCGCAACTAGCATTCTTTTATTGTTTTTGAAACGGCAACAGAAATACATCATCTGTGAAAATTTTAACTGTCTATCTTTCACGGTTCATGAGTTCATGGTGACAGACAAATAGACAGCAAAGTCTTAATAGTCTTACGGCTCCTGTTTTTACCTTTCGAGTACAGAACCCTAGAAAGAATTTGCCAGAGATTTAAATACAACGAGCCCAATGTTGCTCTATATGACTCAATATAGTTTGCCAAGTTTCGTTGTAAAATAATTCCTTTGTCTTTGTCTAAATATATGTAAATACCTTAGCTAAAAATATCTTTCGCCTACATTAACGTACTTATCCCATATTTACCTTCCTTCAAACGTCAGTCACTCAATGTAAGGAATTTCTTAGAAGAGAATATAAGAGAGCAAGGTTAAATATCTACATGAATTTTATAATATCTCAGACCAAGCCTTTCAAAAGACGAAGGCATACAGAAAATTTGTAATTCAACTAACTTTCTACCCTCGGTTTCGACTGTCAAAAACTCTAGTACAAATTTTTATTTACTTTCTATCCAGTGCCTAAATACAAAGTTTCATGTTTCTATCAGTGACATCGACAACATTTCATAGACATTTTCATCCCATATTTTAAGCCATTTAAACTTATAATTCGCAATATCCTTTCCTAAGGTCCATGTGGGTACCAATTTTTATTAAAACTTGGTATAGTTCAGCGGTAACAGAAAAACAGATAGGGTTACTTTCGCATGTAATCTAAATATATATAACTCAAAGGTGACTGACTGACATAGTGATCTATAGATGTAAGACGTAAGCATCCGCTAAGAAAGGATTTTGATCAATTCTACCTCCAAGGGGATAAAATAGGGGATGAAATTTTGTATGAAATATTGTCAATTTTAAACCAATCGGCCTGAGACTTTGCATGCATAAGGCTATCATGACGTAGGCCCTAAGAAAGAATTTTGATAAATTCCACCCCTAAGGGAAGAAAATAGGGGATAAAAATTTATATAAATCTACTTAGATTTTCGACTGATTAAGCTGAAATTCAAGATTGGAAATACTATGATGAAGATGTCCGCTTAAATTTTACATTTCAATCCCCATGGGCATAAAATTAGAGATGATGGAGGATGTAAATGTATTAGTACGTAATGAAACGAATAATTAAATATTCGTTATACATACTACTCAAAGTAACTTTACCACGCTGACGAAGTCATGGCCAAAAGCTAGTATATAATATAAGTGTGTATGATGAATATACTCGTATGAAATTCGTTAGCGAAGTGGTTGGGATGGGACCGTCGGTCTGTGATTTCAAATGTTAAAAGAAACTATCACAAAGTAGCCGCCGTATAGCTAACTAACTTATTATTTGAAACTGTGCTTTGGAATATTTAGAGAATGAATATTTTATTAATATTTATTAAAGTCTGAATAAAATTCTTAAAGGAGAAAATATAGCAATAACGATACTTTTTCTCCCTCATAGAATAATATTTGTAAATTTATGATAAAAATATGAGTATTATACCAAGACATGTATAAGCCATGTATTAAAATATAAAATACTTTCTATTCTACTAATAAGCGTTAACCTCAAAGCAAAAATGCCGGCAAGCCATCGTGTAAGCCGCGCAGGTGAAGACGTGGGTGGGAATTTAGGGTTAGTTGAATTCTAAGCCTGGATACTTTTTATAACACTAAACGAAGCAACCTAAGCGGCCAAAGTCGCTAGCGGCAAGCTAGTGCAAATTAATTTTATTTTCAGAACATTTTGTTGTGCACGTTTCTAGTGCTGTATGATGTAAATGTTTTCTTATTGTATTTGACATTTAATTAAGTCGGTCGACTTGTGTCTATCAAATGTTAAAAAAGTTAAGAACAATTTTAAATAACTTCATTTGAAAGAAAAATCAAGAAACTGAAAAAATAATATTACATTTTTAATTTCAGTTAAGCTACAAAGTTGAAGTACATGCCTGAAGCTAGAGGGGGCGCTCACGCCGAAATTACTAACTTTCAACATATTTCTCGCAGTTCTATCTAATCTAGCCTAATTGTGAATTTATAAAATATTCTACATATAATAATATATATATTTTTTTTATATGGTTATCCAACATTCGGTTAAACAATAAACTTACGTACTAAAGATTGTAAAAAGATACATCACATGCATGTAACGAACAATTACAGGTAAACACTACATGCTTAGAACAAACAAATAACTATTATTATTTTTTTAAATTTTGATTAATATTCAATAATTAATATATACGTACTTCAACCATTAATTAACATTAAATTAAACCACTAAACATGATACCACCCTACCAGTATAATTACAAGTGTTACCTATTGAGTGCATTGTTTCCATGTCTCAAACAAAATCGATTTGATCCTGGCAAATGTGTCACCATGTACATCAATGATGCTGTTGTTTTCGTTTAGGAGTCTACAAAGTCTTGGAATAGGTAAATTTGCACCTAACTGCGACTTACGATAGGGTGGGCACAGGAGCGACATTGGGTAACGGGGGTATCTACTGGGGAACTCTTAACTTAAACAATCGAAGGAAAGGAGGACAATCAATTTTCTCATTAAAAACTTTAAAAACAAACGATAGATCTCACAATTTCATACGGTTAGCCAGTCATAGTAATCAAGTAATCAAGTCAAAGTAAATTACCCACAAAACTTACTATTCCTACATTGCTTGTTGTAATTAGGTCATTTTTAAAAGGAAAAAATGATAAATATTTATATATATAAGTCACTCTTTAGCCGAAGGAAACGTGCAACACTTTTATGATAATCGTAATAGTTCGCGAGTAAATAAGGCATTATTTTGATTTTACACCTCCTCTTAAAGTTTTGACGAACTAGCTTCTATCTAGCGCATAATTCTGAATTCTAGAATTAAAATCGTACATATGTTCGAATTCGAATCGAATGTTCGAATTCCTGACCTTTCGCCAATTGAGCAATTGCTCTATCTGTATGGCAACCCAAGGCCTTAATACAACATAAAGAATGCAAACCTTATCAAATATACCAAACACAAACTGTGAACAGTAAATAGATAAATAAATATTTGACAACAACTTATCAGCAGACTTATTTACCGAGCTATGTAGCAACAGGCATGCATAATTTCATAATGAGTAGATTTTGTATTAGTTATTTGCAAAAAAAACCCGCTGCCACATTTAGTGATTTAATCTATCCAATAAATCTATATACCGATTATTTTTTTCGAAAACAAAGCTCTTGCGTATATTCAAAAGATATCGCATAAATCAATGTAACCATATAAACGTCGTAGCATACATCAATCGTAGACTTTCGTGTAGCAAAGCTACGAGTGTACGTAGCAAGAATGCCGTAGACCCGTTTGTGACATAAAGAAGATGAACGTCTTTCAATCTAGGTAAATTTTCTTGTCACCTTTACTTTTACCCTTATTTAAAATTATGACCAACTACAATTTACAATTTTTTAACTTTACTATCTGATTGTGTTTACGATTTAAGTTACTATGAAAACTAAGATATATTATAAGTATTCGCGACACAAAGACTTTACTGCCATCTGTCTTACAAGTTCTATCCCTTACCTATTAGTTTATTGTTACTACAAGCACGCAATTCTTAGGGTTATATCGGTCACTTTTGTTCGTCCGCAAATCTCAACATTTCTAATTCAATCTCGCAGAGCTCTCTAAGCTATTTTAAGCCCAATTATTAAACACACTGTCAGCAACCACATTTCAATGCCATAAGTCATCACTGGCAACACACATTGGTTAAATTAATTCAATATAATACGCATTACCGTTCCGACGTTCACCACAAATTAACGTTAAGACGACTCTCGTGAATTGTAACTTGGGCCATTGTTAAAATATTTTTAATACAACACAAAATAATATAACTTGCTGGTATAACATAATAAATAATGATGAAATTAATAAGTGATGAAATTCCTTGACTGTTCAAATAAATTAGGTTCGGAGCATTTTATCACGTTCCAATATTGTTTCGAGGAATTTATTTCGTTTCTATACTTTCAATAAATAAATAACTTTTTCATTTCTTTTTCTCAAAAATACCGTCATTACAGCGTAATAAATCATGCTTAAATAGTTTTATTTTTAATTTCGTGTTAGAGACTAAAGAGCACACGGAAAACGTTTTTTATTTCACTGTGTCATTCATTCATTAATCTTTTATACAGTTTGTTAATATTATTATATTGTTCTTTTAAACAGTTGAAAAATATGTTTATTACCTATCTGTGCCATTGCAGTGCGGTGGAGCTAGGTGATTATGTGAATGGTGCGGCGCCGGCGTGGCGGGCGTGTGCGGCGTGTGCGGCGTACTCCGCCACCCGCTCAACAATGGCGCCTCACCACTAGCACCGAGAAGTTTTAATCTGTAAACAAACACAATCTTTTTTATATTATGATTTATGATACATCTCAACGCTGACACCCCACCCGCCCCCTGTGGGTCTAGCACCAAGGTTGGTCTACCGTGTAGAGAAAAGGCGGTCAGGTACCCTGGTCTTTTCCCAGCCTACAATAAAGGGGGATCCGTAGGGAACCTTAGAAGCAAGGCTGAACCGGTGGGCTCCTTGCCGGTGGGCTCCTTGCCGGTGGGCTCCTTCCCCCTTAAGGCTTAATGTTGCATTTCTTTCGAGTGTATAAAAAAAGATAGTGACATAATCTACAATTCAGTTCAATTTTAACCTATTATGAACACGTACACTATAACCTAACGGATTATCATAATATTATGAACTAAATAACATCATTTAAACAGTTTCCTATGTACGAACCGCAACCAGCTGAACGTGTTTCATTAGTCGAAATAACAATAGTCGGACGAAATGTTCGTCTGCCACGTGTTAATGACACAAATGTGGCCATTTTGTATTAATGCCAAAGGGTTAATTCCCAAAAATGTCCGAAGTTGTGTTAATACAATATTTAGAATTACCCAATTATATAATTATCTAATATTCTAACATTCGAATCTGTAGTCGAATAGAAGTAATTACTCGAATATGATTAATAATTTAAATAAATATTGTTGACCGATCGATGAAAATTTGAATGAAGTAAGAACTGTCAATAGTATTTTAATAATATAATAATATTATTAATAATAATATAATAATAGGAATCCTCCCCCCCCCCCCCCCTCGAATCGTCGAGAGGTCGGAAAAAGTAAATTTTATACTAAATAATAATAATAGTATTGTACCATTTGATAGTTCTTAAAACTCCAAATTCTTATTTATTTGTTGAAAATATTTTCTTATGTTATCATATTAACTCAACTAATTACTTCTACTCAACTTATAAGTGAAAGTCAATCCCGTCCTTAAACGCTTTGTTTCAGGAATTGACGACCTGCTTTCAAGTCTTCTTGCCTTCTCGGAGCGTTTATGTTATAGTGAGCCAATACCAATAAGGCCAGCGAGTTGATAATCGCCCACAAGGTCTCTTTCTGTCTACCTTGCCAAATAAAACCGGTTTATCAAGACTATTTCTCTTCGAGTTTTGTTGCCAAAGAAACGAACGATCCTTATCGATCATCGATAGCAGATTATAGACAGTCTGATCTTATTCTTTAGCTGGTTGAAAATCGATTTATTTATTCTTTTTGACGTCCTTATTATCACACTATATAAGAAAACATCAGTAACATAATAAGATCTACAGTTAACTAACTCAAGTTCTTACGTTATAGTTATCAAAATATAATTAAAATAACACAACCACCTAAACCCGACACAATATATTACTAATCAGTTTCTATATTGACCGGTGGGCTAATTATCTAATTTCAAAAAATATCACAATCCCTTTCGAAAGTATAGCGAGTATGATGGCGTTTATGGGACATTGTTACGTTTAAAGTCCTGAACGAATGGATATAAACAAATGCCTTCTGAACGAATAATAATTTCAATTATAAAGAAATGTAATAAAAACTTAGTTAAATCCGTCGTAAGATTAAAGTTAGCATTTAACTCTTTCAATTGACATTATTCGTCCCAATTAAGCTTTGAAAGTAATATTTGCGCTAACGCTTGCGTTAGATAATTCCAATTAAAGTTTAACAATATCGTTAATTCAGTTCATCCAATATCTTTAAAAAAACGTAGTGATTGTATTCACTATTACAATTAGTCTAATAGTTGTAACTCGAAGTTTGTGAATACCTTTCAAATGTAAAATTGGATTGCGATGGATCTTAAAATTAGACAGTTAGACCTACAGTTGGAACTTGATAGGCGAAATGGTAACACTTTGATCGTCGTCCGTTTATGAGACTTCAGATTCTATTATTAAGATGGCATTATAAATTCCAAGTTCCTAAAAATAATCAAACATACAAAAAAAATATCGACAAAAATTTAGCTACGGTAGCGCAGTGTCGCAGCGTGGGCAATTGGCTTTAGAGCTGGTTCGAATTACGATTTATATCTCAATCCGCAACACGACAGCTACCGCAGAGAACTTCTTCTCAGTATTGGGAAAACCAATTCCTAACGGTAGCCAATCGTGTGCCTCTAAATCGGTTAAAGTTTTCTAACGAATGGATATTATGTATTATTCATTTTCTTTTACCATCATAGTTTTAATTCATAAAAAGATGAAGATATTAACTTAGGACCAACACACAACGAAAAAACAACTGTTTATAATTTAAAAAAGAGAACGAATCCGTATTTTTGCTACATAGGTACTTCATATGAGGTTGACATAGGTTATAATTTATACAGGCGAAATCAGGGGATAAACAGGTAGTATAAAATAAAAAAATCAACAACACCATTTAAGAAAGTAACACATGATTGTCATATAAGTTAAAAATCGCAGGTTCTTTATTTAAATTAGTAGCATTATCCTCTTTCGAACAATTCATTTTACCACCCCACAATAAAATGTACACTTCAGAACTCAAAGCCATTATCATTAAAGTGTCTTGCATTAGGCCTTATTCCAAAGTCAATCTACTGGAGCCTCATCCACGTACAGTGGGAGCTCATCGAGTCAACACTCGTGATTAAAACAGCCCTTAAGAAAAGGGCCCTCCCTTACCAAACGGCGATAGTCACTCGAAATGCTTAACTTAAATGGGGACTTCTCGCGTTCAGCCGCATCACGCGGAAAAAGGCATTTTTCAAGTCCTAATATTATATTTTATTCTTCATAGGTTTGAAGGCTTTCAACATTCGAGATTTGTCATTAAAATTTTCACTTTGAAGTGAAAATTGGAGATATAATGATATTATCCGTAAGTAATTCACATTTCTTATGAGAAAGAGTGGCTGTAATCGAGGTCAAGAGTGTGGACAGTAAGTTTACTTTAATTAAAAATATGAACTGACACGAAATATATGATTAAAAATACGTTTATACACAAGATAGACAACAAAAAATAATAGCGAGAAACTCTTATAAAATCAAATTAACAGAACATATAATAACACCGAACTAAAGAAGCTGGCCATGCGTGTTGACGCATGGCCAGCTTCTTTAGTTGAGTTGAGTGATTATAGTCGGTATGTGTTCGAGTTAAAAGATATAATGTGACTGAGTTGAGTGACATTATATCTTTTAACTCGAACACATACCGATTTTTATATATCTCGAGCGAAAAAAAATGTACTGACTGATTGTTTCAGATATTAAGAGCTCCTAACTCTTAAATGGGAATGCGTTAAAAACTAGATAAAACGAATATGTTTCTAGAGAAGTTATGAATAAAAGATAAACATATTTAATAGTCGTTAAGTATTTAACCACTATATCAGAATCTAAAGTCTAAGAAAATAAAAATAAAATAAATATCTATTAAATATTTATCCTTTAGAATACTTAAAAATATTTTATTGAAAGTTAATCAATCCACAAACACCATTAACAACTCATCATGAAACTAGAAATTGGTAATCAAACACGCCTGCTCATTAACTCCTGAATCAGTAAACATGTTGTTTAACGGTGGCGAATTTGGTTTACCAAACAATTAAACAACAGTTCTTGTTACAGACACGTCAGACATAATGATTTTTACTTCAATACATCAAAAATAAGAGCGAGTATTATACGGCCATGCTATATTAATATTAACTTAAAAAATATATTTCATTATGGTAATTAAAACAAGACTGATCATAATATAATACGTTCGGTTATCATCGGAATTGTTCCACCAAGAATTACGGAGAACTCTGTATATTGCAAAATATTATTAACGATATGATCATTCATATCGTTAGATCGATCATAAATCACTTCGTCGCCTGCTTATGAATTTCACGACTGTTAGGGTTGAAACTTTTTTTAACGTAGAGGAATGCTTAGAGGAATATTGTTGCCGCCGTTTAACAGGCAGGAGGGTACTTATGTGGGACTATCCACACGGACTTGATAGTTGACAAACCCACTAAATGCTCATCGTCCACCCTCTTCTTTGAAAGAAGGACTTGGGATCCAGCAGGGAATGCTCCACACTCAGCCCCCGTAGGGCATATGTATAGCGGCACTCGCATTCTCACCAGATAAAAAATAAACACTTATCATAGCCACTTACTCCCGAGATGAAAACTGATAAGTCATTGCTTCAATAACAGTAAACAGAAAGCTGTCGAAAAAGGGTACACACTTCCGATAACAGTAATTCTTTCTTTGATGTTAGCTCGGCGCGTGCATGCTGTGCGGGGGTGCGGTCTAGCTTTGACGCGAGTTTGCCGGGATTTATGAATGAGCTAAAGGCCAGCGGTCCTTTACTACAGCTAGTATTTACCTATTACGAGTATGCTCGTGAATGGTAGTAGCACAGTTGTAACAATTTGTGATTCAATTATGGTTTGAGCAATTATTATACATTTTTATGGATAATTTTGTAAAATAAAAACACTTTTGACTTTGTAAATAGGATCAGTAATAGGTACTGAGTACCCCATTTTTTGTAGTAATTTAAAAGTAGTATTGAATATCTATAGAGTGACCCAGTGCGAATTGGTGGGTGTTAAAAAATGCTGCCGGGGCCAATGGGTTAACGTGCCTTCCAAAGTAACGAAGAGCGAGAGATAACAAAATTTTGGTCACCGATCCTACGTCAGCCCTTGCAAAAGTCACTTCAATAATAAAAAGACAGAACCTGATAACTACTGCAACTTCACCAGTCAACCACTAATTGAAATCTTATCTGATATCGACAAAGTCACTTACTATTGGTACTTACAAACTGGTTTTAAAACTCAAATACAAATGAAATTAAAATAACCTTCGGTAAAATATGCTTAGTACCATGAAATATAGAAACTCGAAAGCTTTTTTCGTCAATTTAAAATAACCAAAAGTTTCTTTTTCACATAAATAATTCATTACACCAACATTGAGTGGAAATATATTAAAATTTAATAATTTATAAACCAAAGCACAGAGAATTTTATAAAACTATCGCGAATAAATGTTGCGGTTGCATTAAAACTTTTTAGTTTTCAAACAAGAATGTATGGTGTATTTTAGAGTTCTCGTAAAATTTAAGCTCTAAGTACTAGGAAATAAAGTTTACAATAAGCACGATTATGTTGCACGTTACTTAAACTTACCCAATTTGAATCTGTTTAATGGAATTTTATACGTTTCTCTCTTTTCTCGTAGACAAAGTAAATGGATATTCAAGAATACTTTCTGCTACTGTTGAAGAGTCGTAACACCTATTTCTAACTGGATTATCGCTTACTGTGATCCGCTTGGATTTTATCCGAGATGAGTGATTATCTATCCTTTTCCGGAATCAAAATCACAATGAACAGGCGATGTTCGCTCCGTTTGAATTAGTTTCAAACGAAACAAATAACCCAATAAAGTTGTTAAGCAAGCTAGTCCCACCGTAGATCTTATTTATGTCCTTGGGTTAGATTGAGGTCAAGAGCGAGCCCATTATAAATAAAAAAAGTGTGATTCGAATGAAGTAGCCAGATCATATTTCTCGGTGAAGACAAGTTGATTCTATAAATATTCCTCAAACAAAACAAAACAAAGTTGAATTTTGATGAAAATATTCTTTGCAGTAGCGAAAAAGAAACAAGTGTTTGTAAAATTCGTCAGTCTTGTTAGGTCCTCGGTAACTTAGTGTTAAGTGCAGTCACCCGGATGGACTCTGAGATGGGTCTCAGAGTGCCAAAGACAAAGTGGATTTTTTAAGTATTTTTCATTAAGAATAATGTTTTAGTTGTTAATCATTGTATCAATACAGTTTTTCATTTGATATCTTTGATACTACAAGTATAAATACAAGTACAAGTATAAATAATCTAATCTCGTAAGCATTTTCGGTGGAAACATCTCTTAGAGATGTTTTTATAAATTTGTATCAACATCTGTAGTTTCCAGTTATTACTGTTTCCTATATCGTGGCAGCTTATAAACAAAACAACACATAAACAGGAGCCACGTATATTTTGTATGTTGTCCTATTAAATAATATTAACTCACAAAATCCGTTTTCGGTCTTCGTAATATTAATAAGTGTAGATCACCTGGCTTTGTGTGCTCTTCTTGATCGCGTGGAGAGGTCGAGCTCGCTGGCAGCGGTGCACGCCGTGCCGGCTTGCAGTGAGCCGCGCGAACCGCCCAGACGTCGCGAACCCAGCCGACATGTCATCATTTCTGCAACAACACAATATCATATAATTTAATTTACCTGCAGCAATATGAAACAGAAGGTCTACTCGTCTCTGGTTTTTCAACGAAACTAGCTATTTTCAAAAGCTAATACGAATTTTTCGTTAAATAAGGATACGAAGGTGCCCCTTATTCTGTTACTAAGTGACCATCGCACGGCTATGGCATTCTGTAACTTATTTTTAATAAATCATTAATCCCTAGCCAGTTCCTATATAAATTAGGGTTACGGGAAAGTCTTCTCGCGTATAGTATGCACAAACTTGTAATAAAATATTTGTATCTGGCTGGCTTCAGTATAACTAAAAAGTAAAAAGTTTAAATCCGAATTCAAATTAGGATAATGTGTTATTTTTCAATCGTTTTCCTTACTGTCAAAATGAGTTAATCCAATGAAAAAATTCGATCCAATTTTTTCATTTTACAAATTGGGTCATAAATGGAGCTAGTGCAGTTTCTGTGAGAGTAGCAAAAATTTGGTTTAAGCGTTTTCAGTCCGGAAATTTTGATGTGAAAGATGCACGTCGCTCCGGTCGCCCTATTATGTCGTGCAAAGTGGATGCCATTTTAGAAAAAGTGCAGCAATATCGTCATATCAGTTTTAACGACTTAACTAAAGAAGTGGGGATTGAGCATAAAACAGTTTTGGCGCATTAAAAAAAATCTGGGTACACAAAAAGTTGGATATTTAGGTACTCATACCTCACGAGCTCATTGAGAGGAACCTAATGAAGCGTGTACTCTTGTGTGATTCTTTATTACGACGTAATGAAACCGAACCATTTTTAAAGAAAATGATAACTAGTGATTAAAAGTGGATCACGTACCACGAGAACGTGTGAAAAAGGTCGTAGTAAAAGGTTCGTTAGGCTTTACAGACTATGGCAAAACCCGGGTTAACTCGCAACAAGGTGATGCTATGTGTATGGTGGGATTGAAAGGGTATTATTCATTATGAGCTGTTACCGCCAGACAGGACCATCGATTCTGAACTTTACAACGAACAACTGATGAGATTAAACCAAGAAATTGAGAGAAAGAGACCAGAAAAAAATCAATAGAAGGGGTGTGGTTTTTCATCAAGATTACGATACCTCACACATCTTGCCACTCAACAAAAATTTACAGTTTGGCTGGGAGGTGTTAATGCATTCGCTGTATAGTCCTGATCTTGCACATTCAGAATTCCACCTGTTTCTGTCTCTTCAGAATTAGTTTGGCGTTTTGGTTAACATTACGCGAGGACTGCCCAAAACTACTTGTCGCGGTTTTTTGATCAGAAGCCCCAAAATTTCTATAAAGTAAAGTTTATTAATTGTTAAGGTTTGAAACCGATTCTATTTTCTTTTCTTACTATATTTTTTTACTATATACTTTTTAGTGATCGATATTTTTTCACTAAATACACACACACACATACACTTAAAAATATTAAATATCTATATATAAATAAAAATATTCAACATAGTGAAAGTCTTTGAAAAGAAGATTTTATTTATTTACTCGACATCATTTTTGAAGAGGAAAGATTTGATTGTTTGTTTGTTTGCATTGAATAAGTTCCGAAACTGTTGAACCAATTTAAAGTTTCTCATCTACGGGAAGCTACATAGGCTATAATATATAAGTCGTAGTCGCAGGAAAAAAGCTTGTTTAATAAAAATTGGTGCATAATCAAGAATCGATTTCGGTTGACATAACTTTTTTCATAAAAAATATACATACTCCTTGAACATAGAAAATCCTCCTTCAGTCTTATTTGTTAGCATGAAATACAATACACATCATCTAAATATTTATGTGATATATACTGAAAAGCATATTTTGTTTTGTTATAAAAGGAAAACTACTAATTGAATTTCGATAAAATATAAATAAGACCTACTCGGTCCACGTCTAAGAATTTTGAAAATCAGTTAACAATAACAGAATTATCGATGAACATACATAAAGAAAAACATACATCGCCTTGAACATAAAACCTGCTCTTTTTGGATTTTGAAGTCGGAGTTCAGTGAAGATCGCCGATATTGACAATTCAAAATTGCGAAACATTCATAGAAAATACGAATAAGTAATTCTGACGCATTGGATTGACGTTGCTCATTTTTTCGGTGATTGCGATTTTAGGTTGTCAGTTGAGTTAGCAAATAGGCTTGCTGACACTGCCTTTGATGCACAGATAATGCTCACGGATATAGTTTTAACAAAATTATGAGAACGATTCGAAATATTCCAAAATTTCGCTTGTAGACCAACAGAGGTCTTCTATTCTATACTCTCCCTAAAATATGATTGAGCAAAATGAGAGCTGATTCATATTCGATAGGTATTTTATTGTAGAGGTGGGACTGCTCAGAAAATAAAATCATTTTAATATGAAGATTCACCACAGTCTTAATACTAGTCTTCATAAATACTGCTAAGAAATATGAAGTTAAACCTCATACGCGAATAAAAGAATAAATCAAGTAAATTTGACAACGAATATCGGATTCCCGTCAGTAGACCTGAGCACACACAATGTTGTATTTGCATTTTGGTTAATTCATCATCTTCAATCAATTTTAAAAGTACTAATCCAAGTCGTAAGCAAGCCGGTGCAGATTGATGGGTTAATGCCTGCAGATGCAGCCGGAACTAATGGCTTTACATGTTTTCTAAAGCATGGAGGAGTTCAGATTGTAATTTTTTGGTAACCCATCTTATTACCGGCCTTTGCGAAAGTTACTTAATTTTCTCATCTCAGACATTAAACGCTAACCATAGCGCCATTGAGCTTCTTGATTTCTAAGTCAGTCTAAAATATTCTCTCTGTACCAACATGGCTGCTAAATTTTTGTATTACAATCACTAAAAATCTTCCCTATATGCATTTCAAAGGAATCGCAAGACAAAAACTACAAAGGTAACAAGCAAGAGCATACTTGTGAAAGGAAAAAGGAATTTAGAAACAAACAGCACAAATCGACGAATCCTGTGAAGGTTTTGTTAGAGGCGACAATTGTGACAATTTAAGCCAACTAAATTCTCTCTTGTTATCTTTAAGGAAAAATAATATTGTGGAGTATGTTCTGTGAATGTGTTAATATCATAGTATATATAATACTATGTATTAGTTTCTACAACATACTGTTAGCATCAGCTTTATCAATGCCTAAAGAATAAATAAGTCGTAAGTATTCCAAACTTAGCTTAAATAGCAAAAATAGTGTTCAACTTCAAATAAAATTGCACCCTATTCCATAGATACTAAAACCTAAATTTATGAAATTAAACTAATATGGAGTGCAGTCCAGAAGTTACTACCCTAGAGATCCCAAGAGAAACTTCATAACGTCAACTAGAATTTTTCTAAAGAAACCTGGTGAAACTATAAGTATTGATTCTAAAAGAAACGTAACCACTAAGGTTCATGATTATAAAAAAAAAACACAACACAATGTCAATAATCTTATCACCACCACATTATTTTGAAAATCCCACACCATAATGATCCTTAACGTAACTTGACAAGGAAAATTATTATAATCATCATCAAGTTCAATTCAGGCAAAGGCATCAAAACATTTACTAAGGAGTGTCCAATCAGCACAAATCTACCATCTCAAAGTTCAAAGGCGACAATAAACGGAACTCATTTCGTCGGATAAAATGAATAACGACACAAATCGAATGAACCACTGGAGCGTAGCTTTCTTTTTGTGTGCCACCGCAATTTCGTTCAACGAAGCAACCACTTCACGGAGTCTCGTCTCGAATTACAAAATATGAACACAGTCTGCAATGTATAACATCAACAGCGCGCTGCTCGTAATTTAAAAAAAAAGGGCTATACTTTAAAATGTTCTTAGAAATAAGAAAGTATACAAAAATATTTACTTTTAAATTCTAATTTTTAAGCACATTTCAAAGTATCCTATAGAAAAACGCCTTTATCTAAGAGGGGTTCCTAACGAAAACGAAAATCATATACAAATTGCAATTAACTGTAACTTTTAGTTGCTACTTCATCTTATCTATCCCTAATCGGGCCTACTAATAAAGATTTCAAAACACTTAACGATATTGTTTAATTTCCCGAGTACTTGTTTCTTTATTTTTTTGCCAGGAGACTAAGTACTAAAAAGAACTGGTAAGAAAATCAGCAAGGACTGCTTTTTTCTCCCTATTTTAATTCATACTAGCTTTCCGCCAGAGGCGTAACCTGCGTGGTATCAGGAGAACTGTTTATTTGGATGGATGAATGGAATGTAATTACAATGAGAAATTAAACAGTAAGCAATGGTTACTATGATGACATCTTAATTCCCCATACAAACTTTCATCCCCGTTATCATCCTTTTGCTGTTTTTCGGGATAAAATATAGCCTATGATATAGCTTCCCCTAGGTGAAAGAATTTTTAAAATCTTGTTTTATTTTATTATAAACAAGCTATTTTCCGCAAATTCTTTCGCAATTATAGCGTCACCCGCGTAAGATGTTACCGTAAATTAAAGAATTAATAGAGCGATCCCGTAGTTCGGAGCCTAACATTAATGATATGATCTTCTTTTTTGTAATATAAGCATACATGTTAATGCTGTTTCTGGTCGTTAAAAACAAAAGGAGCAAAGAAAAACATCCTACAATAACAAGATCCGGTGACCAATGTGTGTGTACAGACCATTATACCTCCCGCTATTTTTACTCCACTCGAGGCCTTTTAAGCGTAGCATCCTTAACCGTCCCCGTGACGTCACACAGCCGTAGTATGTAAATGCGGTACGTGGATTGTTTCATTCGCTGAATCGCAGCGGTTTCGGTAAATTTTAATGACATGTTGCGTCGCAGTGCGGAGAGCGAAGCCTCTTTACCATACGGCTTCCCCCGCTTATCATACGTTACGACTGCTTACATACATGCCATTTGGAATTCAACTGAAAGGGCGCTCCGTTTACGACGGTACCTATATTGGTCAGGAAGTAAAAAAATAGTAGGT